CCCCCCTGCCACCCATGGAGGTCCATGGTGGAGCAGATGCCAGCCTGCAGCCTGTGGAGGACCCCACACCAGAGCAGGTGATCGTGCCCAAAGGAGGCAGGGACTCTGTGGGAAGAAGCCCCTGCTCTCGTCGTTCGGCACTGGGAGGACTGTAACATGTGGGAGGTACCCACATTGATGAAAGTTCATGGAGGACTGACTCCTGTGAGAAGGGGACCATGCTGGAGCAGGGGGAGAATGCGAAGAGTCCTCCCACTGAGAAAGAAGGAGTAGTGGGACTGTCTGCAACCCCCTATTCCCTGCCCTTGCACCACTGGGGGAAGGAGTCAGAGGACTCAGGAGCAGAGTCTGGGAAAGAAGGGAAGAGTGGCGGGAAGGTGTTTTTAAGATGTGGTGATGATTCTCACTGTCCTACTCTGTCTGTTAATTGTTGTTGTTGCTAGTGTTTGCATTAAATTGATGTTCTTTTTCTTCCCCTAAGGAGTCTGTCTTTTGCCCGTGACCATCATGGGTTTGCCATCCCTCTCTGTCCTTACCTCGATACCTGAGCCTTTTGGTTTATTTTCTCCTTCCCAGTCCTGAGGGGGAAGGGGTGAGTGAGCAGCTGCATGGTGTTTGGCAGCTAGGCAGGTTTAAACCACAGCATCATCTCATTGAATTGTACCATAAAGACAGAACTAGTAAGGAAACTCTCCTGGACCTTTTCTTTGGACTTCTTTTTTTCCCCAAGAGACTCTTCCACCTTATAAACTTTAAGAATTACACTATTTGCAATTATGTTGACCATTTTCTCAGTGTAAATTAGAGCCCTAGACAGGTTTATATCCCTTAGGTTTCCCTCACTTTCTCTGTTAAATTACCACATGACTAAAAGATCAGATTAGAACAAAGTTAATTTTCACATATTGGTATTAACACCAAGGAAAGCCATTTGATGCTCTTACTCCAGGAATCCCATTCTCCCACTGGAATGAAGAATCTGATCAGGTATTTCAGTAGTATAAAATAACTTTACTGACTTGAGTATCTGACTCCTAATAGGAGAGGAAAATGTCACGTCTCCACCTTTGCATTTGGAGGAAGGAAAATACTTATCTAAATTAACAGAAGCAGCTTCTTCTTATCCCTTGTCCATCTCAGAGTCCAAGAGCTCAGCATATACAAGATTTTATTAGCACAGAACATGACCTTTCCATATAAAGGAGAAAGACACCTTACAGAGGTAAAGCCATGCTAAAAAATCAGTCCTGCATTATGATTCGGAACAATTCCTTAGCCAAAGTGGAAACATGAGTGTCAGTTCTCTTTCCATTACTGCAAGTGGCAGAAATCCTACTTATTTCAATAATACAGGAATGGCTTCACCATGCTTACAATAACAAAGCCATCAGTATATGACAAAGGGGATGATTTCTGTTGTTTGGCAATATTAAATCTCAAATAAAACTATGTTATGAATACACTGGGAAAGTGAGTATGATTTCTTTCTTCAGGCAGTGAAAACATAGTGGAATGAATTGCATACAGGACAAATTTGTCTCCTTGAACAGCAAGTTAAACATTTGAAAGCAGCACATTTTAAACTTTTGCTGATATATCATGTCTAGATTTGTTTCTTGTCAGTATAGGTTATTCCACTCATGGAACTGGCAAAAATACTTCATTATATATGTATATGCAATAGGTGTTGAGCACAAGGGAAAATCATCAAGTTAGGCTTGATGCTCTTCTTCTGCCAATATTCCCTCCTATGGACCTGGCTTTTGAATACCTACAGAAATGTTTTTCCTTTGACAATCTCAGGAAGATTGAGAGAACATGTGCTTACCCAAACTATGGTATGTATGTACAATACTAATATTATACAATATACTAGTATATATAATGAGTCAACGTATTATTTGACACTTTATAATGCATCTGAACTGTATTTTTCAGCAATAATAAGGAAACACAATCATTACTGTGGTTGATGCATGATCTGGGATGGTAAAAGCTGTAGCAGAAACAGCTTTGTAATTTTCAGCCATATTATAGTGCTGAAAGGGCCACACTCCATAACCACGCAGTTCTACCCGTCATCCAAGTGTCCTTGTGGATTCCTCATTGATTCTAGCTTCCAGCACAGCAGCTGTGCAAACAGGGCTTTCAGCTGGCTGTGGGTGGAAATGTCTGTAGTTCTGCACCTCCAGCAGCAACCCCGGCCTAGCTACTGTGCTTTTCTGCAGACTGTTCTCAAGTACTCCTGGGGCAGAGACTCTTGAGTCAGACAACTCCTGAACATTGCTACATAGCCTTTTCAACAAATCTGGCCTGTCCTTCACTTCCTTACCCTGGATTTCCAGACAATGCCAAATCACCTTTGGGCACAAGATGGTTGTTACTCCATCTGTGAAAAGGATGTGAAAACCCAATAATAACAACTGTTAGCTATCAGTCACGTTTCTTAAATCATGATGGAAAGATTTTCAGACAGTGTAGCTAAGCATGGTTCACAGGCCCATACAATGATGTACCAGTGACAATAGCGCAATCTCAACTTTCCATCAAATGTCAAATGGATTGGGACTGGAAAAGTAAAGTCCTTCAGGGCTTAAAGAAAGGTCACCCGAGACATGGGGAAAAGTCTGTGTCAGGCTACTCACTAACTTCAAGAGAAGTGAGGTATTAACATTTCACTTTGATTTAACAAGGCTTAGAGACCTTCACGCTCCTTTGGTTAAGAAAAGCAAAATCAAATCAAGTTTGCTTTATTTACAGTATTGTCCAACTTTTAATCAGTATAAATTTAATACCTAACTTTTAAAAGGTGGTTGAGTAATTTCAAGACTCCCAAAACAAAAGAACCCTCAAAATTTAGAAAGAGAAAAAATCAAAGACTAAAATTACCGTTCAATGTCGGCTTTAAAAGTGGCAAAGACAGGTAGTTCCTCCATTGTCAAGTTAGGTTGAAAAGGACAACTAACCAAAAATTAAAAATCTTGCAAGAACTGAAATCTGAGGTTATTCGATGAACATTTTAAGGCAGCAGTGCCACTGAAACAAGCACTTCTGCTTGCTGTGTCATCAGCTCCTTGTTTTTTCTCTGCATTATCCTCTGCTTTTGCTGAAACAGGGCCCTCTGCAGTGAAACAATGGGTAGCTGATTTGGCTAAAAGCAAGCTTTCATTTTGCTAGGTTACTTTCCATCTGGATCAGTGTCATAGAATCACAAAATGGTTTGAGTTGGAACAGACCTTAAATATCATCCATTCCCACCCCCTGCCCCGGGCAGGGCCCCCTTCCCCCAGCCCAGGGGGCTCCCAGCCCCGTCCAACCTGGCCTTGAACCCTTCCAGGGAGGGGGCAGCCACAGCTGCTCTGGGCACCCTGCGCCAGCGCCTCACCGCCTGCATGGGGAAGAATTCCTTCCTTACATCTAATCTAAATCTGCCCTCTTTCAGTTTAAAACCATCACCCCTCATCCTATCACTGCACCCCCTGACCCAGAGTCCCTCCCCACCTCTCCTGTCCCCCCTTTAAGCCCTGGGAGGCTGCTCGAAGGTCTCCCCGGAGCCTTCTCTTCTCCAGGCTGAACCCCCCAACTCTCTCAGCCTGCCCTCACAGCAGAGGTGCTCCAGCCCCCTGAGCATCTTTGTGGGCCTCCTCCTCTGAGCCCTCTCGAGCAGCTCCATGTCCTTCTTATGTGGGAACCCCAGAGCTGGACACAGGACTGCAGGTGGGGTCTCCCAAGAGCAGAGTAGAGGGGGAGAATCACCCCCCTCGACCTGCTGGCCACACTTCTCTCGATGCAGCCCAGGGTACGGTTGGCTTTCTGGGCTGCGAGTGCACACTGCTGGATTGTGTTCAGTTTTCCATCCACTAATACCCCCAAGTCCTTCTCAGGGTTGCTCTCAATCCATGCATCCCCCAGCCTGGATTTGTGCATGGGTTTGCCCCAACTCACGTGCAGGACCTTGCCCTTGGCCTTGTTGAACCCCATGAGGTTCACACAGGCCCCCCTCTCCAGCCTGTCCAGGTCCCTCTGGATGGCATCCCTGACCTCCAGCGTGTCCCCGCACCACACAGCTTGGTGTCACCGGCAAACTTGCTGAGGGTGCGCTCAATCCCACTGTCCGTGTCACCAACAGAGATGTTAAACAGCGCCGGTCCCAGCACCGACCCCTGAGGAACGCCACTCGTCACTGCTCTCCACTTGGACATTGAGCTGTTGACCACAACTCTTTGAGTGTGACCAGCCAGCCAATTCCTTGTCCACTGAGTGATCTCCATCTGTCAAATCCATGTCTCTCCAATTTAGAGACAAGGATGTCATGCGGGACAGTGTCACACATTTTGTACAAGCTCAGGTAGATGACATCATTTGATCTTCCCTTATCTACCAGTGCTGTAACCCTGTTGTAAAAGGCCACCAAATTTGTCAGGCACAATTTTCCCTCAGTGAAGCCATACTGGCTGGCACCAATCACCTCCTTGTGTTCCATGTGCCCTAGCATAGTTTCCCAGAGGATCTGTTCCATAGTCATCCTTCTTCATAAGCACAAAAATTATTCTGTTGGCTGAAAAATCATGGAGCATGGGAGTAAAATACTGTTTGGAAAGGTGCAGAAGGATTTAATACTGAGCTTTGAATACGCTCAGTGTTCCTAGGCAAGTTTTGTTATATATATCTTCTTCCTGCCAGAGCTAACATTTCAAATTTCTGCCATGTGATAAGGCACAAACAAGGCTCTCCTCTCCTGTTTTGCACATGGCAGTTTAGTTGTGCTTGGACAAGAATAAAACTGAGCTCACATCTTTGTGACTTACCCATTCTGCAGTGTTTCACTGAGTTTGCAGTAATACACATTTCTTAATATAGATTTACTTGGTGTATATAACCCAAAATATTCTGTTGGTCTCTGAAAAAGCCCAAACCTAGAATAGACTGCAATACCTGCCTGAGTAGCTTAGACTCTTTAAAGATCTGGCCTATAGACACTGGCAGCACGCAGAATTTACCAGCAATGGACACGACAGTGTCGAAGCACTTACTTTGATAAGGAAGACACAAGCTATGGCATACCATTACTTCATGGCCTTAATTTCGTGCTGATTCCACCAACGGGAAACAGTAGTCGCAACCCAGTTTATAGACCTGAGAATTGATGTGAAGGTATTTGCCATTTCCGTAGCCTGAAGAAATAATGAGTAGAAGAAAGAAAGGTGGATTCCTGGTGTCTGTACAAAAGAAAACATATTCCTGACATAAACCATGATGCACGCCCTTGACTGGCCTAATAGCTTGAAATTCTCCACCCTTTTTAAAGGAGATATGATTGTAGTGGAATTCAGGTTATTTTTTACTGTCACAGTACAATGAGCACAGGCTGCTCCTTTCTGTCTAGCAGGCTCTCTGCTGCATGACAGGAGGTGTTCAAATGGAATTGCTAGAGAGCATTTACTTTGGCCTTCCTACCACATACGGAATCAAAAATATTTATGATAATGATGCTACTGCAATTCTGCTTGTAATAGACTCAAAATGCTAAGTGAAAGCATCATGTAGTAGGAGCACAGCACCGAATTATTCCTGTGTATTGAAATGCTGATAGACAAACTAGACTGCTAAGTAATTAAGTCACTATTAGACCAAACCATTAAATCTATTGTTTGCTGTTTTAACTGCTGCTAATTGCTGTCACCATGACAACAGTGGAATTTCTTTTTCTGGTATCTCCATGCAGTTTCCTTTTCATAATGGAGGCTGCAACATGGAAATTTACATCTTCCCAAATTGAAATACTTCTTGTGTTGAAATAAAGGCAGACATCTTTAGCTAAGAACAATTTTAGTGTCAGCAGTAAAACGGATCTTATCTAAATTTTTGATAATTTGTTTGGAGAATTATCTGGATCTTAACACAAAGTGCATTTTAAAGTAGATTATTAATTTTGAAAACTTGCCTTCTGACTTGCAACATAAAAATCATAATTCAGATTAAGATCAGGGAGGTAAATGCATTGGACTAGCATAATACCCTCGACTGTGTGCAGACCTTGGTTCACATCCTGTTTATGGCTACGCTTACATCAAACATTAAGTTTGGGTCAGAGCCCAGATTTTCTCTCTAATGCTTTTTTTTTTTTTTTTAATGATAGTTATTTTGGAGCCTTCCAAATATTTAAGTCTCTATATTTAGGTTACAGCCACCCCATAGCACCTACTCTGAAACCCTGTGTGGGTCCCTATGTTCAGCAAGGAGCCTCTGAGCCCCATCAATCTGTTATGCCATTTGAATGGGAGATGAATCACTGCTCAGCTGCAGATAGATGTCTGCTCCTAACTGCTTGCCTAATATTAACTGCTGATCCCATCTCCCAGGAATAAAGGAAAGATATACAGAGAAAAGCTGGAGCACTCTCAGTCCTTCCCATGCCTGAATTCAGCACCAGCTGAGAAGAGGTGCTGGTGAAATGGTGCCAGCGCTTGGCTAATATGAGACTCTTTTCCAAGGAGAAAGAGTGGAAAGAGGAATACTGTGGAGCTCTGACTGGAAGAGAACTCCAGGACTTTTTCTGATTTTCACTTTTCTAAGGAAAGGCTCCAGTATAAGCCAAACAACAACTTCTAAATACATTTCCTCTAATATGACACCAGGGATGGAGGGGCGGAGGAGAGCCCTGCAGGTAGACTCCTCTCCAGTGCAGTGGTACCACTCTTGGCAATTGTGTTTCACACAAAATTAGTCTCTGGCCACAGACATCACAACAGCGTGCCAGCAGCCACTGCAGGCCAAAGCCCAGGAGCCAAGCCTGGGCTTAAATTACAGTGTTAACCAAGTCCAAAGTCTGTGACATTGGTAAAAATTCAATGTGCTGGTTCTTTGTACACATTTTATTTGCTCACATTGAAAACAATGTAAAATCTGCCAAGATCTGTTAGGAATACAGTTCCCAGCATTTAGACTGTCATAAACTGGGGAAAGTATATGGTAAAGTTTGAATGACACTCAAAAGCTAGTGTGATTAGCCCAACCCTCAGTATTTTTAATCTTTCACAAATGTTCCCATGCTAGAGTAGGGAGACTACACATATGTTTGCTGGAAAGGATTACAGGTCCAAAAAGCTATTTAGAAGTCTAGCCTAAACATGTAGAAATTATGAGTTAAATGCCCAGATCTCATCTGGACAACCAGCATGTACCCACTTCGGGTGCAGGTACTGAAGCTAGTACAGAAGCTTCCCTCCTACCATTTAGACATTCTCAAAGCTTTGGGGAATTAAAAACTGTCACACATTGTTCCCCAAAGCACTCAGGACAGTGTCATGATACTTGCTTCAAATTGGTCACACACAATACATGCTGTAAGAGCTAAACAAGATTTCAAATTTCAGAATTACCATACTAATACACAACATTAGCATCCACAAATGACATCTTAATAAATTTATCTCCAGTTTAATGTTTCTGTTTAGTTGACCTAGTGGATACTGGGAAAAATCATATTGCCTTCATATACCTCTGAATGGTAGAGCAAAGTGAGAGGCATATTTGATAGTCAGCCTGGCCATTTTGATTCCCCAGTTTGATTCACGAGCTCCAAACTCTTCTGTCATGAATATTGCTTGATGGAAAGACAGGACATACTTAAACTGTCATTAGCAACATGATAAACAACCCCACTCACCAATATCACCAATCAGGCTGCCTGGTTCCTGCTCTGAAATGAACAGCTGCACCTTTGGCCATGCCTTGTAGCATGTGTCACTAAAGTAAGGAGCAATTTTCTCATATACTCTATGAATGTGATGCCTCTCAAGTTGGCTTGACTCCTTCTCCATCACAACCAAGGCTAGGCTAACTCACTGAAAGCAGTGCAACTGTCCTAGACAAAGGGAAGGGAGAAAAACAAGCACTGAAAGTCTTGTTACCAAAGCACATTTCCTTAAGTTAAGCAGTATGACATTGTTTATTTAGGAAATAGTATTTCCAAATACTATGTTGCCATTAAAGAGAAATTGCTGAGGCTTTTAAAGAAACAAGGTCATTTATTCTATGATTTTATACAATATATTGTTTTCTAATATAAATCTGGAAGAAATTTTGTGACCTACCACTCAATGTTTATTAACTTGCTTATATTGTTATACTTTGCGAAGTCTTAACATTTGCTTCATAAAGTCTTCCACCCTTTTTCAGTCTACCCTTGAAAAAGATATTTTGTAAGAAGTTATTTGTTTACAGACACATTTTAAAAAACAGCAACTTAAAATGATGATGAATACCAAAAGATGCTCAGAGACTGAAACAAAAGCTTTGAGAGGCATCATTTCTCCTTTGCTTCATTCAGCACCCAGAGAGATCCATGCTTACAGACTCTCCATTGCACAATTCATTGACACTATGTGTTACTGTGAACAAAAAACATCTTTCCAGCTTTCCAAGCATGCTTTTTTTCAGCTGTTCTGGATTGGCATGGTGTACTGCTATTAGCAATGCCCCCAGGAAAACCCTGTAATACTGTGAATAGCCTATTGCATTCTAAGTCATTGTTCAGTTCACCATGAAGCTTTGTACAGAAAGGCTGTAAAAACTGTAAACTTCATTGAACATATGCTGGCCATGCCAGGATTTCCGATTTATTCAAGGCTTGGGCCACCAAGACAGGCTGCTCCAGCTCCACCAGCATGCTGCAAACAACTCCATGAAGAATAACTTCTCCTCTGAGGCAAAGGTAGTGATGACAGCACCTCAGCCAAGATCTCTGTACTGCAGGCTGGCCATTAATCTGACTCCTGGTACAGTCCTTATCTGGTGCTTATTTTCAAAGCCATAAGCATTTAAAATACTGTCAAGTCAAAAGACTGTTGTTCTGTGATTTCCTAGACAATTACCTCAAAGAGAAACGCTGGGGCAGACTAAGACCAAATTCAATCCTGCAGTAACAGCAAGAAACTAACTCTGGAGGGGTTTTGGTTATGTCATTCATCAATCTGAAAAGCTACTAGGATTAAATCCTGTAGCCCTCGGTGTCTTCTGTCATACCAGATATTCACTCAGCATCACTGGGAAATTGCCCAGACTGCAAGTTTCCTGAATATCCTGCCTAGATCAAAGTGATGACAAGCACTGGAATGGGGTGAAGAACTTCTTTGTAAGATCATCCTGTTCTCTTCATTAGATGTGTTGCTAATTAACAGCCACTTTAGAAACACAGCTAAAAATAAAAAAAGAAGACAGGGAATGTGTATTGGCTTGGTTTAGTCTCTCGTGCCCTGCAGTGCTTTTTAGCTTCTAGTGAGATTTAAAGCCATCACCTTTCAAGCACTTACACAGGTGCTTAACGCTGTGTGTGCAAACAATACCACCAACTGAATCCAGGGGGGATATTCCAGGAACAGAGTTCACCACATGCATTAGTGTGTACAAGACTGGCTGTCTAAGGCAGAAGGATTTTTTTTTTTTTATTGTTCTTCATTATAACCAAACTCTGCTGTAGAAGCTAGTTTTTAAAAAATACCTTCAGAAAAACCCTGGTTGAAATAGCTGAAGTGCTCTACTGGGGATCATTTCAAGAGGAAGCCGATGTACTATCAAATATACGGGGAAAGGCAGAAGGAGGTAAGAGAAGGAGAGGGAAATTGTTCTTTGGAAAAGCCGCAACATCATTTCTAAGCTTTGCTATTGCTTCATTTGACAAGAGGAAATAGTAACTGGTGAATTGATGTAAGACCACAGGGGTGAAGATAACAGAGCTGTTTCTGTTTAACTGTAGGCTTGGACTCAGGATAGATCACTTTTAGGCAGAGGGACAGCCTGGAAGTTCCTCCCAGTTTGAGACAATTACCAGGAAAGAAGGACAGTGCCTATGAAAGCACCTAGCAAGAGAAGCCGCATGGTAAGACAGCCTTTCAAACCAAGGCAAAAAAGTGTTTAAATGCAAAAAAGAAAAAAACCAAACAAACCATTATGAGTTGTGTGTAAAACACTCTCTCCTCTGGAAGAGGATCAAAAAAGAGGTAACAGGTGCTACGATTAAATCTCACCTAGGATTAAGGAAGACATAGCATCTTTTGTTTTAAAACAGTAGCTCCAATGGTGGGGGAAACTGTCTGGACTCTCTGAAATTTAAAATTCTATCTCTACAAGGCACTATTAAAATACATTTTCTACAAGGTTCTTAAAAGAAAGTAACCCTTTGTGGGGGAGGTTGAAGGAAGAGACCAGTCAGGTCAGACTCCAGCCACCACCAGCAGTGATGCTGTGGACATTTCTACCTAGAGGAGTACCATGAATGCCCATCTGCTAGGCTTACCAGGCCATAAACCACTAAATGCTTGTCAACACTCCATTTAATTCGTTTAGTATGGCAGACTGAAAACTGTATAAAATGTAGTGCACCAGAGGAAGAGAGCAGAGAGATGTTTGAGGGCACAGCCACTAAGTTTACTAAGTAATGTTCAGACAATCCTAGGAAGCTGGTTATGGTGCACATTGGAAAAAAAAAAAAATCAAAAAGCAACGAGGGATGCCCATCAATCTAGCCTCTGGGTGATTGACTCAGGTTCAAACATATGATTTATGCATGCTAATCTGAATGTCAAAGGCTTTCCAGTTTTTCTATCATCCCCAACATCCTTTTTCTAGTCACAGGGAAAGTCAGAAAATAACTTGGAAAACAAGCTATGCATGAGGAGAAAAAAAGAAAACATTTTCTGCCCAACACAGAATTGGATATTAAGTGCTGCAAATGTTGCATAATGGCATTTTACATAGGTGTTCTTTGCCTACTTGCATAACAAAGGCTTTGGGGAATGCAGGTATTTTCTTTTGAGCACACTCACCCCTACTTTTATGCAAATTAAAGGAAAAGTAAATCTATTCATCTGGGCCTGGCAGGAAAGCAGAAAGAGGTACAGAGCAGCAGTTGAGCTGGCTGTCTGCCACCTGATCTTCAGCTAAATTTGACACAATTTGATTGAAAGTGAAATTAAATTTGAGTTTAAAAGCCATTAAAAACTTCTGAGTTCATAAGTGATTATTAACTTCCCAAACACTGTGAAGCCTCTGAGCGTTCGTGCAGGATGTGAGCCTTGTACAGGCTGTGCCCCACGCTTTGGGGAGCCCTGACACCCCACAGCATTGCCCCCCAAGGGGTACCACAGGCAGCTGGCGGAGGGGGTTCTGGCTCCCACATCCAGAGCAAGAGCTCATCCTCTGGCTGCAGTGTAGCAGCTTCTGCTGCCTTAAGAGTCCCTTAAATTTATCTGTGAATTTAAAAAGAAATTGTTCAGGAGAATAGGCTAATTCTAAAAAATGTAATTCTTTGGGTAATACCTGATAATGTCAATTTAATTCAGCTGCTCTGTGGCTCAACTTAACAGGAGAGAATGAACTGAATTGGTAGTAAGCTTGCTTTTGACAGCAAGAGTCTTCTAGAAGGAGGTGTCATCAGAGAGCTCCCAGATGTAATGAGTAATAACTGATTTTAAAAAAATGCCTATTCTTCCCCTCTGGCACTGAGCGCTTGCAGCTGTGGAGGCAGCTGCGGGACCGGGCTCGGCCTGGTGAGCTGAGAGCAGCTCTGCCGAGGCCCCTCCGGAGCCCCACGCGCGTGGGCCGCCCCATGGGAGAGCTGGTGGGAGCGCTGGAGACACGGGGCTGGCTCAGGGACATGTCCTGGTGCCACCGAGCCCTCCCTGCCTCCGGCCAGAGAGACAAAACTGGAGCTGCCAAGCTGAGCTGGGCCTCTTCAGAAACAAGATGAGTTTAAGTCTTGCTGCAATTAGTGCCAGCAGATGATGTAACAGCTGGTTTATCATAGCTGAAAATCCAAACCAACAACTCCAGGAACACACTATTTCTAATACCTATGAAAGAGACAGCGGTGTTTTCCTCCCCTTTGTTAAATTAGTATTTTTCTCATGATACACGTTTGGAAAGCCTGCTTAATTCTCTTCCCTCTCTGCACCCCTCTGCACCATCGTCATTCCCACCTTATACACAAATATTACATTGCAACTGCATTGAAATAGCTTTTCTGTGAAGTGCCTAATCTGTATGTGAAACACTGGAAATATTCAGGTGGACCTTGGTAGGGTCCATTCAGGGACCTTTAGCAAGTTTGTTCTTCCAGCAGCAGCAAGCAGCCACAACAGGAGTGATCTGCCAGTCAGACTAACAGTCCCTACTCCTGCGAAGCAGATAAGAAAAGAACAAGAGAGGAAAAACTGTAAAATCTGCCTTAAAGCCCTTGAACGATGGTTCCCATGAGGTGTCAGGATCTGGAGAAAGACTGATTAACAGAAGGGGAAATGCAATTTGGGGCACAGAGGGGCTGGGAGAAGAGGAGAAATGAAAGAAGCTAGATGGGAAGAAAATGATAAAAGGGAATTTTATAAATAATAAAGAGGGAAAATGAAGGGCAAGTAAAGAAATGAAAAAGAGAAGAAAAAAAAAAAACAGAGAAAAAGAATAGGGAATAAAAAAGCAAAGACATGTAAAGAAATGCCAGGTTAGTATTTTAATCAGTTGGCCTTACTGCATTTTTCTCAGATACCATCATGCATGGGCACAGTATCACAGTTTGACAATTAATCAGCCATTTGGGGATTCCTCATAATGCTGTATTAATATTACCAGAGCGTGGTGACACCTTCCCACAGCCTCCCAGTTCCTGCAGCACATCCTACTGGCCTTATCCTCACCCTTTTAGAGGGCTGAGAGGCAACAGAGCTGCATCTCTTCCACCTTCCTAAGTCCTCCAGCAGCCGCAGTGTGAGGTTGGTACGTGCCTTTCTGGAATCCCCCCACGCTGCAGGCGCTGCTGGGGGGGCGGTTA